CTGGACAACATTCTCGTAGAACGTTCGCTGCGAAACCAATTTTTCCCCACACGCTTAGTGGGGTTCTGGTTTTCTTCCCTGCCGTGTCGCACCCGCGGCCCACCTCACCCACCTCATCCCGCCCCACCCTTCTCACACAGCAGAGCACAGCACAGCTCAGCTCAGCACAGCTCAGCACAGCACAGCACAGCTCAGCACAGCACGGAGCTCAGAACAGCACGACACACAGCTCAGCTCAGCTCTTCTCAGCATAGCGCAGCGCAGCACAGCACAGCACAGCGTATCACAGGACAGCGCGGCACAAACACACAAGCAGCGCAACACGCTATCCGTGCCAGTCGTCCAGGCATAGCAGGCGTGGCACTTTCTCGACACCATAGGGGGTGCGCAGGGGGTGGTCCCTGAGCGCGGCCGCTATCCGTGCCAGTCGTCCAGGCATAGCAGGCGTGGCACTTTCTAGACACCATAGGGGGTGCGCAGGGGGTGGTCCCTGAGCGCGGCCGCTATCCGTGCCAGTCGTCCAGGCATAGCAGGCGTGGCACTTTCTCGACACCATAGGGGGTGCGCAGGGGGTGGTCCCTGAGCGCGGCCGCTATCCGTGCCAGTCGTCCAGGCATAGCAGGCGTGGCACTTTCTCGACACCATAGGGGGTGCGCAGGGGGTGGTCCCTGAGCGCGGCCGCTATCCGTGCCAGTCGTCCAGGCATAGCAGGCGTGGCACTTTCTCGACACCATAGGGGGTGCGCAGGGGGTGGTCCCTGAGCGCGGCCGCTATCCGTGCCAGTCGTCCAGGCATAGCAGGCGTGGCACTTTCTCGACACCATAGGGGGTGCGCAGGGGGTGGTCCCTGAGCGCGGCCGCTATCCGTGCCAGTCGTCCAGGGCATAGCAGGCGTGGCATTTCTCGACACCATAGGGGGTGCGCAGGGGGGGTCCCTGAGCGCGGCCGCTATCCGTGCCAGCGTCCACCTAGCGGCGTGGCACTTTCTCGACACATAGGGGGTGCGCAGGGGGTGGTCCCTGAGCGCGGCCGCTATCCGTGCCAGTCGTCCAGGCATAGCAGGCGTGGCACTTTCTCGACACCATAGGGAGTGCGCAGGGGTGGTCCCTGAGCGCGGCCGCTATCCGTGACAGTCGTCCAGCATAGCAGGTTCCGTGGCACTTCTAGGACACCCACAGGGGACGTGCGCAGGGGTGGTCCCTGAGCGCGGCCGCTATTTCCGTTGCAGTCGTCCAGGCAAAAGCGGTGTTGGGGCCACTTTCTCGAAACACCATAGGGGTTGTGCGCAGTGCTGGCCCTCGAGCGCGCCGCTATCCGTGCCAGGTTTCCGTCCAGGCATAGCAGGCGTTAGGCACTTTCTCGGACACCATGGGGGTGCGCAGGGGGTGGTCCCTGAGCGCGGCCGCTATCCGTGCCAGTCGTCCAGCCATAGCAGGCGTGGCATTTTCTCGACACCATAGGGGGTGCGCAGGAAGAAGCTGAACTCGGACCCGGCTGAACTCGGACCCAGCTGAACTCGGACCCGGCTGATCTCGGACCCGGCTGAACTCGGACCCGCTGAACTCGGACCCGGCTGAACTCGGACCCGGCTGATCTCGGACCCGGCTGATCTCGGACCCGGCTGATCTCGGACCCGGCTGAACTCGGACCCGGCTGATCTCGGACCCGGCTGATCTCGGACCCGGCCTGCCTCCGGCGCTCCTCCCGGCTTCCGGCTGAGGTTCTCCCGCCCGGCGCTCCTCCCGGCCTCTGGCCGGGGTGCTCCCGGCCCGGCCTCTGGCCGGGGTGCTCCTGGCCCGGCTCCACTGGCCGGCGCTCCCCCGGCCGGCGTCTCCCCGGCGTCTCCGACCCGGCTGAACTCGGACCGGCATTTTTTTGTTGCATGGTGTTTAGTTGTGCTTTTTTTGTTTTTGTTTGGTTTGGTTTTTTGTGTTGTGTGTTTTTGTTTGTTTGTTTTGTTTGTGGTTTGTTGTTGTGTGTTGATTTTTTTTTGTTGTTTGTTGGTGTGTTTGAACTCGGACCCGGCTGATCTCGGACCCGGCTGAACTCGGACCCGGCTGAACTCGGACCCGGCTGATCTCGGACCCGGCCTGCCTCCGGCGCTCCTCCTGGCTTCTGCCTGGGGTTCTCCCGCCCGCCGCTCTTCCCGGCCTCTGGGGCCTCTGGCCAGGGTGCTCCCGGCCCGGCTCAACAGGCCGGCGCTCCCCCGGCCGGCGTCTCCTCGGCGTCTCCGACCCGGCAGAACTCGGACCCGGCTGATCTCGGACCCGGCTGATCTCGGACCCGGCTGATCTCGGTCCCGGCTGATCTCGGACCCGGCTGATCTCGGACCCGGCCTGCCTCCGGCGCTCCTCCCAGCTTCCGGCTGGGGTTCTCCCGCCCGGCGCTCCCCCCGGCCTCTGGCTGGGGGTGCTCCCCGCCTGGCTCCACGCCGGCGCTCCCCGGGCCGCCGGCGTCTCCCCGCCATCCCGCCGTCTCGGACCGGGCTGATCTCGGACCCGGCTGATCTCGGACCCGGCTGATCTCGGACCCGGCTGAACTCGGACCCGGCTGATCTCGGACCCGGCTGATCTCGGACCCGGTCTGTTTCCGGCGTTCCTCCCGGCTTCTGGCTGGGGTTCTCCCGCCCGGCGCTCCTCCCGGCCTCTGGCCGGGGTGCTCCCGGCCCGGCTCGAGGCCGGCGCTCCCCCGGCCGGCGTCTCCCCGGCGTCTCCCACCCGGCTGATCTCGGACCCAGCTGATCTCGGACCCGGCTGATCTCGGACCCGGCTGAACTCGGATCCGGCTGATCTCGGACCCGGCTGATCTCGGACTCGGCCTGCCTCCGGCGCTCCTCCCGGCTTCCGGCTGGGGTTCCCCCGCCCGGCGCTCCTCCCGGCCTCTGGCTGGGGGTGCTCCAGGCCCGGCTCCTGGCCGGCGCTCCCCCGGCCGGCGCCCCCCCGGCGTCTCCGACCCGGCTGAACTCGGACCCGGCTGAACTCGGACCCGGCTAATCTCGGACCCGGCTGATCTCGGACCCGGCCTGCCTCCGGCGCTCCTCCCGGCTTCTGGCTGGGGTTCTCCCGCCCCCGCCGTTCCTCCCGGCCTCTGGCCGGGGTGCTCCCGGCCCGGCTCCCCCGGCCGGCGCTCCCCCGGCCAGCGTCTCCTCGGCGTCTCTCGGACCCGGCTGATCTCGGACCCGGCTGATCTCGGACCTGGCTGAACTCGGACCCGGCTGATCTCGGACCTGGCTGATCTCGGACTCGGCCTGCTTCCGGCGCTCCTCCCAGCTTCCGGCTGGGGTTCTCCCGCCCGGCGCTCCCCCCCGCCTCTGGCTGGGGGTGCTCCTGGCCCGGCTCCACGCCGGCGCTCCCCTGGCCGCCGCCGTCTGACCGCCATCCCGCCGTCTCGGACCCGGCTGACCTCGGACCTGGTCTCGCCTGGGCGCTCCCGGCGCGCCCGTCCTCTCTGGCTGCACTCGGACCCGGCTCATTTCGGACTTGCCTGAACTCCGAGTCGGTTGATTTCGCTACTGGCTGATCTCAGACCCACCTCCTGCCAGGTGCGATCCCGCTGGTCCTCCCGACTTCCGCGGCCTCGGGTTCTTCCGGCCGGCGCCCTCCCGCCTCCGGCGCTTTCCCGGTCGGCGTTTACTCGGCGGTCTGGCGCTGTCCCGGCTCTCGGCCGGCGCGCCACCGGCGCTCACCCGGCGGCTCCGGCGCCTCCCCGGCGTCTGGTGCCTCAATGTCCGCGGCGAGCACGCGAGAGCCCCATGTTGAAAAGTAACCTCCCTCCATCCCTGCACTGCGACAGACGTTCACGACGATTGTCCGCGGCCATCAGGCGAGAGCCCCATTTTGGAAAGGAACCTCCCTCCACCCGCGTAACAGACTTCAAGACGATTGCACGCGGCGCTAAGGCGAGAGCCGCATTGTGAACACAAACCGCCCTCCATCGTGTAAATGTTGCACAATAGTACACTTCAGGATCATACATGGCGATCGTACATGGCAAGGGAGTCTCTGGCGAAACGCCTGCCTCCCCCCCCCCTACACACACGTTCCGTGGTGCGCCAGGGAGGATTTCTTTTAAAGGGGAGAGGATGGAGGAGGACGAGGAGGAGCGGGAGAAAATGAAGAACGGGAGCCGTGGCTGTCTTACGGGCTCTGTGGCCGCCCAGTTCGCGCGCGTGGGCGGTTTTGAAGGTGTCCTTGGGCCCAGGGCGGGCGGCCCTACAGCACTTCCTCCATCCTTTCACATGGGCCACAGGAGCATGCTCAGACGCCCACGCCGTACAGGCATGCAATTGGATATTGACGTGCATTTTCGCGCGGTGGCTCTCAGGCTCGGAATGGCCATGGCAATGTCGACGGTGATGATGGCAGCGACGGCGGAGTACGATTCCGACGGCGACGACTGCGGCCACAGAGACCATCACGACGACGACGTCGACGACGACGACGTCCTCTTCCTCCCTCCTCCCTGCTCCTCCTTCCTTCCTTCCTCCTTCCTCCTTGCTCCTCCCCTCCCGTCTCCTGTGCAGGAGACTCGGCGGCAGCTGTAATCCCGGAAATGGGTTCCAGGGGATCTTTCTCCGGCCTTTGTGGCCATGCACTCTGTGTCTTTCAGGTGTGGCATGCGTTGTCATGCCTTGCGTTGTCATGCATTCCATTGTTGTGCAATGCAGCGCAGCTCCTTCCAAGTTTCCATCGCTCTGCCTTGCATTGTTCTGCCTTCTTGACTTCGCTTTGCGATGCATTGCATTCCATTGCGATCCATAGCATTCGCTTTGAGTCCTTTGTGGGTTTTCCATTATGCCCTCCGCCTACACCTTTATGTCGTCGCGCCATTCCCAGCCCAACCACGTTTTCTTCACAGGGACCTTGGCTCAAGCGTTTCCTTTCGATCGCACTGCCTTCTGCCAGCCATCTGGTCCCATGGCATCCGCGACCTTCCGAGCGCTGCCCTCTTGCTCGATTTAGCCTACGGCGTCGAGAAGACAAGCGCGACGTTGCCTTCCAGGTGGCAGCCGGTCTGGGCATCGAGCCGACGTGGTTGGCGGGAACCGATGGGGATTCCCTCAAGGCACGGAGTGGGTATGCTAAGCGTTGCCAGGGCGGGCCGGGCGGCCGGGTGCTTTGCCCCTGGTTCGACGCCGCACACAAGACGCGCCGTATTCGGTATGTGCGAAATGCCAAGTCGAATTGGGGCACGCATTGGGGGACCTTGGGCTGTCTGATGAGCCACGAGCGTGCTTTGGCGCAGCTCCAAGACGCTCCTGCCCTCATCGTCTTGGAAGACGACATCCGCCTGGCAATCGATGCCAAGGAGGCCTGCGCGATGATTGCGCAGGCTCTCCGTTGCATCCACAAGGACCACAAGGATTGGCTGATCCTGTACCTTGGCTGCTCTACCACTCCGTGGTCTGGGCCCTTGCGCAAGGTGCGCGGAGGGCCGGCTGGTTTGTGCTGCGCCCGGCAGGCTTACCAGAGCCATGCGTTCGTGATCTCGCAGGCGGGGGCGGAGATTTACTGTGAATACCTTCGCAAAGGCTTCCCTGCGGAAAACGCGCTGCTGAACATGGTGCGTCGGTGCCCCTAGATGTGCTTTGCCCTGGACCCTCTCGTGCTTACGCAGGAGCAGAAGAAGCTCACGCAGAGCGACATCCGCGAGTCCACCGTGGCCTACCGGTCCGGCGCTCCACGCGCACGGAAAAGGGGCCACGCCAGCATCGCCAGGAGAAGGGCGTCGTTGCCGCAGGCGCAAGCGGCTGGGAGCGCAAGCAGGAAGGAGTGGCTCCGAAAGACGCGCCGAGCCAGCGCCAGACGCAAATCCAAGCGCACGCAGACCAAGGCCGGTTGTCGCGGCTCCCACACCCTGTGCATGTCGGGGTGGGCGTCTTGCTCCGCGGGCGCCCAGGCAAAAGTTGCGCGCCCCAGCGTCCGGGCGGCCATCGTGGAGCGATGGGGCCAGACAGCATCCTCCAGCCTCCGGCACAACCCGCCGCCGCCCATTGTCCCCCACTGGGCTCTTTCCCCTGAGGCGTAAGGGTGACCCCGTCAATGTGTTCTCAGCGTTTCGTGCTCCATGGGCATGTCATGGTCCTCATGGGGGGCCTTTGCAAGGATGCCATGACTGCAGATTCGTGCGGCCATGGCCTGCTAATCGGCTCTCCTGGTCTGCCGCGAGTGCATGCGCTTCGACTCTTTCCCCGACCGAGCGCGCTCTTGTGCGCGTGCAGGGGCTCTCTCAGGCGCGGCCGCGCCACCCGGTGGCTTTCCGCCTCTTTCCTGCCCGCCATGGAGTCCCCAGCGCGCGGGCGCGCGCGCGCGCGATGGCCATGCCGCCCAGATGGGACGCACGGATCGCCTCTTCGTCTCCATGTCTCACCCCGCGCATGCCACCCTGCGCCGCCATTTCCCGCGCGCGGAGCATCGACGGGCCACCGCTGGGCATGCGCCAGTTTTGCGAATGCACCCTTTTCCGTTTCAGCGACCTCGCGCCCGCAGCATCTCTCGCGCTCCCGCGGAGGTCCACGGGGCACCTGCCGCGCGGAGTCCGTTCTTTCTTGCCTGCGTTTTCCTTGCGGTGCGTCCTCCATGTGAGTGCGGAGCGGCAGCGCCCGCTTTCCCGGGCGGCGGACTCTCGCGTTCCGCGCGCGGGCCCGCGTCGGGGATTCCAGAGACAATCTCTGCCTCCGGCCCTGCGCGCTCGCCACGCAGGGGCCGCCTGCCCGCTGGCGTGCCGCCGGGAAACGCGGCGCGGTCCGTCTGCGCGCCATCGTGGTCGCGGGAGCCCGGAGAAGGTGGCGGCGAACGTTTCAGGATGCGCTCCTCGCGCGAGGCTGGTCGCCGTCGCCGTCGGTCCCGCGCGCTGGGGGGCCCTGTGGCGCATGAGGGGCCACGAGCGTGCTCTGGCGCAGCTCGAAGAGGCTCCTGCCCTCATCCTGTCGAACTCCGCCTGGACATCGAAGCAGAGGCCGCCTGCGCGATGATGGCGCAAGCTCTCCGCTGCATCAAAATTGAGCACGTGGGTGGGCTGCTCCTGAACCTCTTCGCTGCCGCGCCACTGCGTCGTCGGGGCCCCCCCGCCAGGTGCGCGGCGGGCTGCCTGTCCTGCGTCGCGCGCGGCAGGCGAGACGTGCGTTCGTGATATCCGAGGCGGTGGCGAATTCTTACGGGGAGTACCGCAACGCGCTGCTGAACATGGTGCGCTGGCGCCCCTGGATGCGGTTCGCCATGGGCCCTGCCTGGCCAAAGCATGAGCGGAAGTAGTCGCCGAGCGACTTCCGCAAGTCCACTTTCACTCTCCGTGCGGCGCTCCAAGTGCATGGAAAAGGGGCCACTGCAGCAACGCGCAGAGACTGGCGTCGTTACCCCAGGTGCAAGCGGCAGGGAGCACCAGCAGGAGTGAGTGCCTCGGAAAGCCTCGCCCACCCAGCGCCAGACGCAAAACGCAGCGCTCGCAGACAAAAGCTGGATGCCGTGGCTCCCGCGCACTGCGCATGTCCGGGTGGGCGTCTTGCTCCGCGGGCGCCCAGGCAAAAGTTGCGCGCGCCAGCGTTCGGGCGGCCATCGTGGACCGATGCGGACAGGCGACGGCGCAATGCTCGGCCTGCCAGACACCGCCCTCCAGTCTCCGGGGAAACTCGGCGCCGCGCTTGTTCCCAAATCGGACTTCTCCCGTGCGCCTTACGAGTTACTCCCCTAAGTGTGTGTCCGTGTGTGCGCGCGTGTGTGTCTGTGGGTGTGTTCGCAAAGGCTTGTCTGCCATTGGAACTCCACGGGCCTCGTCGCGGGGCTTTGCATCTCTGCCCTCGTTGCAGAGTTGCGCGGGCATGGCCTGCTGCTGGGCTCGCCTGCTCTGACACGCGTGCTTCCGACGGCTGTCTTCGCGCGACAGCGCGCGCCCCTGCGTCTGTGCAAGGGGCTCTTTCAGCAGGCGCGGGCGCGCCACCCCGTGGCTTTTCGCTTTCCACTTGCCCTTCGCGGAGTTCCCTGCGCGCGCGCGCGGTGGCTGCTCCGCGCAGATGGGCTTCGCGGACCAGTCGTTTTCCAAAATTCTGGCGCCCGCGAAGGGCTTTCCCTGCACCGGCGATTCCCGCGCGCAGGACATGGACGGGCTCCCGCTGGGCTCCGCGCGCGCGGATGCTGCTACTTCCATGGCGGCGCGCGGACGCACGTAGCATCCCCAGCGCTCCCGAGGACGCCCACGGGGACTCCTGCCGCGCGGACGCCGTCCTTGCCTGCGTGTTCTAAGCGCACGTCCTCCATGTCTGCGCGGACCCCGGGCGGCAGACTCCCGTCTCGTTGCGCGCGCGCCACGAAGTCAGGGAGTCCATGGTGAATCTCTCGCAAGGGCCCCTCGACCGTGCGACAGAGGGGCCGCCGGGCCACTCGCCTGCGACTGCCGCATTGCCGCTGGGACACTCGGCGGGGGGCGCCTGCGCGACATTGCGGTCGCGGGAGTCTGCTGAGGGCGTCTCCAAACGTCTCAAGGAGCGCTCCTCGCGCGAGGCTGCTCGCCGTCGGCCCCGCGCATGTGTGGGCGCTGCGCAGTTGGGCAGCGCGGAGCGCCGCAACTCGCAGATGCCGCGTGCGTGCATTAGTCATGCCGCGCGCCGCGACTGATCTACACACGCGGCGCGAACGGTCCTCGCCGGACTGGCTCCACGCGCGCGTGCGTGTCCCGTTCGGTACTCATGGATGCGGATTCGCGCAAGTAGCGCATGCATCATCCAAGCGGCTGCACCGCCTGGACTGGATGCGATGGGCCGCTTTGCGTCTTCAGAACTTTTACACGACATGGTTTACAGCCCGCGCGTCGTGGCCGCCGAGGGTGCTCCACCGAAGAGACCCCTCTTGCGCCGCCATGCGTCCCCTCCACAACTTTCATTATTTTCCCTCACACCTTTTCCCGGCATCACGGTGACTTGCACCGAAGGCCTTGGCGGCGCCGGCCGCATGCGCCCCCGTCGCCCATGGCGGAACTGCCCACGCACGTTCCCCCGGCCCATGCAATGCGAAGGCCCCACTGCCCCCGCCCGCATGCGTCTCCGCAATCCTCTTCGGGACACTTATCACACGTCGCGTGACCTCATGGGGACCTCCACCGAACAAGGGCCCACTGGCGTGGCCCGCGCGCGTTCCCGCCGACCATACCACCACTCACCACACTCGTTCCTTCGGACCCTGGGGAGCTCTACAGAATCCCCCACTGGCAATGCCCGCGTGCGTTCCCGTTATCCAGTTCGGGACACCGCATGCACGTTCCATGGCCTCACGGATACCTCCACCGAAGGCCCCACTGGCGCCGCCCTCATGCGTCCCCGGTATTCAGGGCTCTTTTGGAGGCCCTCCTGGGGCCATATTGGAGGCTTCCTGGCCCCTCCTGGGGCTCTCTTGGGACCGTCCTGGGGCTCTCTGGGGGCCCTCTTGGAGGCCTTGAGGTCTCATCGATGAAAGATGTGGGGGTTCTTTAAGTCAGTGCCCCCGTCGGGACCCGAAAATGAGCCTCTTGGGGCTCTCTTGGGCCGCTCTTGGGGCGGTCCTGGGCGCTCTTGTTGCCGTCTTGGAGCCCTCCTGGGCCTCTCTTGGGGCCCTTGTGGGCCATCTTGGAGCCATCTTGAGGCCTCAAGAGCTCATCGGACGCGAAAGGGCGACAATGCAAAAAACATCGAAAAACAAAACGGATTTCAAGGATTTTGGCCTCTTGAGGGCTTCATTGGAGGGCTCGAAAGGCACTTGGAGCCGTCCTGGGGCGGTCTCGAGAGCTCTTGGATGTCTGTTGATAGCTATCTTCTATCTTGAACCATCTTGGGAAATCTTGCTTGACCTTGGAGGCTATCTTGAGCTCTTTGAGGCCCTCTTGGAACAATCTTAGGCCATCTTGGGCGCTCCTATTCCTCGCGGGAAGGCGCCTCTAGGCCCAGGGGGAGGGGGTAGGGGGAGGGGGAACCCCCTCCCCGAAGGGGAAGAAAGGGGTTTGGCAGAACGAGCTCGCTAGACCACTCACGCCCTAAAGGGCTTGTGGGATTATCGGGAACGCACATTCCAGATGGCTCGATGGGCTCTTTGTTGCCTTGCGGTCCTGAGAGACGGGGAGGGGGCGAGGGCACATGGCCGGCCGAGTTCGGGCGCGGCCGGGTCCGAGATCAGCCGACGGCTGAATTCGGACCCGGCTGATCTCGGACCCGGAAACTCGGACCCGGCTGAACTCGGACCCAGCTGATCTCGGACCCGCTGAACTCGGACCCGGCTGGTCTCGGACCCGGCTGATCTCGGACCCGGCTGATCTCGGACCCGGCTGATCTCGGACCCGGCTGATCTCGGACCCGGCTGATCTCGGACCCGGCTGATCTCGGACCCGGACGCTCTCGCTGCAGCGCGGGCCTCGGTCCGAAATCAGCTGGGTCCGAGTTCAGCTGGGTCCGAGATCAGCTGGGTCCGAGATCAGCTGGGTCCGAGTTCAGCTGGGTCCGAGTTCAGCTGGGTCCGAGTTTTTGGGTCCGGGATTCCGGGTCCGAGATCAGCTTGGGTCCGAGTTCAGCTGGGTCCGAGTTCAGCTTGGGTCCGAGTTCAGCTGGGTCCGAGTTCAGCTGGGTCCGAGTTCAGCTCGTGTCCGCAGGGGGTGGTCCCTGAGCGCGGCCGCTATCCGTGCCAGTCGTCCAGGCATACAGGCGTGGCACTTT